GGATGATGCTGAAATCGGATGATGCTGAAATTTTGACTTATTTTATTATGAAAATGTAAAATTTTTTTGGGGTGTTTCGTCAGCGTGAAAACTACGATACTATGTATCAAAAGAACAATGGCATCCATTTTGAATCGCATAATTATTTGTTCTCGCTTTCATAACTTTTCATATCTAATTGTTAATCATGGTAAGGCCATGTAAATCTAGTAATAGGTTTAAATTTGATGAATAAAATTTTGAGTCAATTCAGGTTAGTACGGAATCATAAAGATCCCGATTAAATACAATTTATATATTACATTATTAATGTAAATTATTCGATCATACAATGATTAAAAATATAAATATTAAAATAAAAATATAACTATTATTTTACTCTCATAGCATATATAACAGATACTTTTCAATTATCCGACTTCAATAATATTAAGTCAATAAAAATCAAAAACTACGGGAGCAAAATGCTTTAATCAAGCTTATGACTATCAGCGGGAGCAACAGGATAGTCTGCTTTATTATCGCGAACCATTTTGTCAAAATACCATCGTGCCGGCTTAATGACAAGCTAAAGATATAATAGAACAGAAATATAAATTTGATAAATTTATTACAATAATAATAATAAAACAAAATTTTAATAATTAACCAACCCGAGTAACGCCACATAGTAAAGTATCGAAGAATGCGTTATTTGATGGTGAAATTCCTATATTATGTTAAACCATATATGCATGCAAATAAATTTTCAATCTTGATTTAAACAATTTCAGGAGAAAAATTATTTAATCGTACCCAAAGTTGAAGCTCTAATTGCATCGCCAATAATGTCTGAAGTAATGAAAAAGTTGCCTTTACATATGCCTACGTTATAAATTAATTACAAACTATTGCGTTAGAATAATTGACATTTCGATGGTATATCCAAGAAAAAATATTTTTATCACCTTTAAATAAGGCTTTGGCACCTTCTTCCGGAGTTATTTTATCATCACCTTCTATATCTTTAGTGATCTTTGGTTTTGTTTTCATCTAGAGTGTTATGAAGCAGGAATTAAATTTATTAAAAACCACAAAAAAAATGAAGTAGTTGATCGAAGTGTTGAAACTACCTCTTCTTCATAACCAGGTGTATCAAGCGTACCAGCGAAATAACAATGTACACTAATATCATAAAGGATCAGCTCATGGCGCAGACATTCCGCCAAACCTATTGAGCACAATTAATTCCGATATGTTAATAAATATAATTATACATATAATCATAATACAATTAATAATCACCTCTAATAGCATGCTTTGTTGGAGCATACGAAGAAAATCCCATAAAACCACAAAGTCCCATTACAGAACTAACAAAAACGACCTTGCCTTTGACACCTTGTTGAGCCATACGCTTTACGGCCTCCTACATTAATATAACAATAACGTTAAATATTGACATAAATTAATCAAGTGAATTTAACATAATTAAATTTACATGGGAGGTGTATAGGGAACCGAAATAATTAAGTTGCATAGTTTTCTCAAATTCATCCATTGGATGTTCTATGAATACACGTGGTATTGAAAGACCTATCGGTTACAAGAAAATACAAATTAAATGAAGATTTAATATTTATCTTTGTAAAGGTGTATTAATTAACGAATTATATTTCAATTAATTAGTTACCAGCATTGCAAATGATCACATCAGGCACTCTTCCACCATGTTTTGATGAAGCTTCATCAAGTGCACGAATGGAATCATCATATTTTGATAAGTCAGCTGATACTGCGTTAAATTTCAAAGCTTCATAATCCTCACGAGCTTTAGCAGCCTGAGGTCATGTAAATATCAATATATGGTATGAACAAAAAGATGGACAACAGAATACAATACAAAATCATGACGTTATAAAAAAAAAAATAAAATAAATAAAAGATAATAAATTACATCTTTAATTTCTTCTAGAGCACGATTCAAATCATCCCTGTTTCTAGCACAGATTGTGACATGTGCTCCTTTAGAAGCCACTAACTTGGCAAACTCCTTACCAAGTCCTTTACTGCCGCCCGTAACATAAACATGCTAGTTATAAGCAGATAATCAAGTATAAAGATAAATATATAATAATTCGGCATTTCATCATTATCTTTAAGAATAATAAAGCCTACCTTTCCTTTAGGTTGGAATTTATTCCTTCCCATAATTTTGCTCCAAAGAGAATTAGTCATTAGATAACCTACGGAAAGTAATAAAAACGTAACAATGACAGAAGCTACTGGATGTAATTCTCCAGCTAATTCAGCATAAGGTGTAAATTGAAGAATATAATCTATTAAGGACCACATTTAGGAGATATCATTATTTTTTATTGGCTGCAAATCTGTAACATGCAAGTCCTGATTGGTCAATTAAAAATTTTTAATAAAAAGATAATGACAAAAAAAAAGTTCGTGAAAGTCAACACTTTTTTATATTATTTTCAATTTTTGTGTAACATGCCAAGATGATTATCGGCGACACAAAAATTCAGTGGATTACGTACATCCAAACAAATTTTGTCAACCAATTATTTTGTTTAGATACCTAATTAGTGCTGTAGTGTGCGCAGAAGCCAGTTTCATGGATTTCCCCAGCGTAACCATCAAAAAATCACGGGCCAAAAAATCTTTAAGTTCGTTTAGGTTAGGGTTAGGGTTAG